TTATTAGTAAAAATACATTTCATTAAAGTTATTACAAAGGTTTTAGTAAAAGTATATATTGATGTTAAAATAAATTATAATGTCATTAGAAAATATTATTCAAATGATATGAGACAAATGCTATTTAAAATATAATACATTAGTACTCCAACATTGATTGAACTCAACATTACTATCATTGTGAATAATTCTATACTATATTCTATTATACATACGTTTTTATAGATAATAATAATTTTGTTAATAATTAATATTTTATAGTTAATAAACTAAATTCTCATCAAGTGCAAATGAAACTATTTGTGATAACGATTACATTATTTTCGACTATTATTTTAAATCACTGTGCCGATATTCATCTATATAAAAATGTTTGAAAACTTTACAAAGTTTACTCTGTTATAAATGAACTATATTTTGTTTTATGCATATAATTTACTATCTAGAAAATGAGCATGGTTTGTTTACGGTGGTCTAATGTTAGCAACTCTAATAACATGGACAGACACGTTGAAAATAGCCAGTGTCAAGTGAGAATCGCAATCCCCATTTTTCATGTAATTAAATAATAGTAACTTATAATCAATAAATTATATATTTTAATATAATACATTCACTTTTATTTATTTATTTATCATATAATTTTATGACATTTTATTTTTCAAGATTAAACCTAAAAATCAGTGTGTACATAAAATATTATATTATTAATATTATAACACATTTAGCATAAATTCCTATTATATTTATTATTTAATTAGTTTATTTTGTCTCATAATGAAAAAATATCAAAATATCTTTTAATATTTATTAAACCCGCCATAATATTTATTACTAACTGATTAATGATTTCTAATCAACTAAATTAGATTCATTGCAAAACCGATAATACACTCGAGATTTGTGATGAATTTTCACTATTCATATATTCGTTAAGTTTAAGATGCAGGTAACTTATTATATTATTTATTAAAATTCCCAAATAATTAACATTTAATTGCATTATTTAGTATATACTTTCTAGTAGTCCCTGGATTAGGTGGAGGCTATAAATTACCAAATGGTTCATGGACAGGATTTATGAAATATATTTTTGATAATGTTGATCAATGATATAGTTTACTTAATTATTGCAGTAATTTTTATAGTTTTTCTTATTATGATTATTAGAAAGCGGACATGTTTATACCATATTTCCATTATGATAATGATCGAGCAGAAATTGGCGATTTATTATACCCAGTTTGCGCAAATGAAGTCTCATTATTATCTGCAAAGATTATCTTATCAAACGAGTCCAGACCGTTTAATTCATTTCATAAGTCATCATGGTTATTCATCGCAATTATATTCATTATTGTTACAAATATTTATGTTTTTCATACATGGTGGCAATTTAAAGTTAATAGACAACTTATTAATTTCTCAGATGCATTTGTTTGTGTTGTTCTTGACAATATACTTGTATTATTAGGCAAATGTAACTACCATTTTGTATTTTTATAAAAAAATTATAGTTTAATAATTTAAATATTTTCAGGTCGCGTAACAAAGTATTCACGAGAATCCGGAACATTTATCAGAGTTTTCTATGCCTTATGGATATTAAACTGTTTATATTGGGTTCAGTTATTTAACACTCAAGTATTGTCAACACTTACCACTAAATCATCAAGTACAATTGATAGCATGGGTGATGTAGTTAACGCACGTAAGAATTTAACTGTCACAGTTTCTATGACCAGCTATGTATACACTAATTATATTAAGGTAAGTTTATAATTATAAAATTATTAATCATAATTATAGGCATCTNCACAGTTTCTATGACCAGCTATGTATACACTAATTATATTAAGGTAAGTTTATAATTATAAAATTATTAATCATAATTATAAACGTCATAAATGTATTAAGATTTATAATAATATTTTAATTACGCTAGCTTAAATATCCGCAATTGGAATATCAGAATTATATACCAGGTGATTTAATATCAGTCAAATTTTTGGAGCCAATAATAGCCGGGCGTTCAGTATTACTAGATGAAGATACTGTGATACAAGGGATCATTGATTTGCATCCAGCACTACCACTGCACATATCAGATGAGCGAGCTCTATTTTCAGTTGGTGGCTTATTAGTCAGAAAACAAATGAACCTCAATTTTAAACACATTTTGAAACAATGGTAACAAAGTTTAATAATAGTTATTATTTTTGAATGTTTACTGTATTTTATATAGCGTTACAATAATATTTGAGAAAGGATTACTACTAGGACGAATAAAAATCAATAGGATACCTGCTAGCATCAAGGGTAGTTTAGTTTTATCAGACCAAGCCATTGACCATTATGCTGACGATAACGATGAGCATGATATATTTAACAGTGTCAATCTAACCCGAGTGCAATTATATTTTATGATTTATTTCACATTATTAGCGTTTTCTACATTTGTATTTCTTATTGAAATATATAAGTGAACATTTACATTTTATTATAATTACATTCATATTTATCAATGAATGAATTAATTTTGAATAAATGAATTTTATCATTAACCTATTTGTTATTAACCTATTTGTTTTAAATTATATTAATGTTTAAATTTCAATATAAATATTTTCTATATATAATTTGGTTTGCTAATTGAATGCAAACTCATTATAGATATATAGTTGTCATGGCTAGAAACTATTTTCATTATAATTTAATGTACATGACTTATTTTAAATGAGCAGTCATAAAAATATAAAACTCTAAATAGATTATTAATTTCAAAAATCCGTTATTTATTGTTAGTACATTTTAGGGTTGTAAAATTTTAATTTTTGTCAACAAGAATTTTATAAATTTCAAATTCTAAAATTTGTCCATCAAATGGCACGAAAAGAACCCCGTTTTTGCCTAAAACCTTGCCAGGTATTTCACTACCATTATGAACACATTGCCCAATGTACAAATCAACGCCATATTGTTTACCACCAACAATGGCATTATCAGGGAAACTTCTAGTAGATGCGTCTACCCAATCAAATCTTGATAATGGTAATGTCAACACTTCGTAATTTGACTTTGCTACTTCGCAACCATCAACGGCAATATAACATACTTTATGGCTAGGCACAACCTGCACAAATATTAATGACATTTAAAAATTATAGAGCTATTAATAATACTTTGCGAATAAATTTATATTAATAAATAAGTTTTATGTGGTCAATAATATGAGATCATAATATTTTCTGTAAAAAATCCAAAATATTTAATACGAAGATCATGATTAATTATAATTAATAAATATTATATATGAATTTATTTAAATACAAATATAATAAACATGGTTGTATGCTAGTAATAGTATAAACTTTACTAGAAAAAATTAAATGCGACTATTTCATTAATATAAACCATGTACGATAAGTAATGTCAAATTAAATATTTTGAACTTCTGCATTTTTATCTACCTTGCCAATTATCAATGAATTTCGATATTCAACTCGTCCCACATACATAACTTCCCCATATATATCGTTCCCACCAATCACAGCATTCACTAGTGGTATGTCACCATTTGAACATCGACTCCATTTGGGATCACCAATATTTATCAATGGTCCCTCATTTGTCTCTATTATTGATTGGGATTATTACGGATATGATATAAGTTGACGATCAAAATAACTGTAAAATGCTCGAGGCATATTTATCAAAAATACATTAATTATTTAAAATTGATTAGTAGATTATAGCTAATATTTTAAATGACTGACACTTTAGGTTACAACTAGTGTACGCATACAATATTAGTCATAGATAATTTTCAAAATCTATACTTTTTTAATAAACAAAATTTAAATGTTTATCACAATTAGCGTTAAACCAATGTCGTTTACAATTAATTACCTGTTTAATAAAGATCAAAATTTTCACTTACTTTGTGTATTACACGACTGTTTATAAACATTTAATATTTCTTGAAACTTGCTACACCACTTATGAGAATTTAAATTGTGACCGGGCATTTCCAATCTCAAATTATCATTATGTTGTACTTTGTCGAAACTTGGCTTAATATTTGGTTGTGAATATGATAAATGTTTCTGCTTGTTAAACTCGCATACTTGTGTATGGTCCAATAATCTTTCAAATAGCAATATTTGTGGGCATCCATTATCTTTATAATCGCAATAGATTTGTAGTTTGCCCAGCATGTTATCAACAAACCTTATTTATCAAAATAGGTATTTAAATTATTAAATGTAACTAATTTAAGAGTTAAATAAATTAGCTACGTTATCCAATAGAATATTAACAATATATAAGATATTTACAGTAATTTCCAAAATAACTCATATCTAGTTAAGTCTTAATAATCATGTAATTCAGAAAGTATAACACACCTTAATAACTACAAGCCTTATAATATTAATTTAATTATAATTTTTAGTAAGATGATATATAAATATTATTAAGACCGCATTAAATATTATGTTTTTTTTAAAAATTACTGTTCTTAAGATGTTTATACTTTGAAGGAAACAATTTTAAATTTTTAAAATCAAATTAGTATATTTAAAATATAACATAATCTATTATAATACAAATATTTAGCATAAAAATTTACATTTTAAGCAGTGAATTTAATAAACTATTATATTAATATTGTCACCTGGGTGGTTTATGTAGTTCAGTCGCAGTCAATGGTGTCCTATCAAAAGGGCACTCTTTGTTATTTTTAAGCCAATCGCGTATACATTGCGTGCAAAATGTCTGTCGACAGCATTGAGTGACCACTGGTTCGCGGAATATATTGAGACAAATACCGCACGAGAGCTCGTCTTTGTCCGACTCACTTAACCCCACAAACCGGTTGCAGTCATAGCCCAACATGTAAATGTTAACTGGCTAACAGACAAATAATTTTAAATTAAGTTATTTAGCATTATGTGCGTAGTATTAATTTAATACTTACATGAAGCTAAATCTCACTTTGTAATCGACCACGTTGAGTGCTTTGATTGTAACTATGTTAACTAACTTATCAGATATTTTTGTATTTAATAGTTATTACAAATTCATTTATAAATGCTGTTATAGACAACATACAACTAATAAATTTATGATTGAATCAATTATTAAATATCTGTATATATTATATAGTTATTAAAATAACTAGTTTTAGGTATTTTATTATTTGATAGTAGTTAAGATACAAATAATTTATATCTCTATCGCATAGTGGGGTTAACTATGAGTTTCTGTGGAACTTTATGAGACAGGTCGAATTGTAAATTAATCATTTGATTAAATAATAAGTAAATTATTTTAATATAAATTGCAGTAATTACTTTAAAGTTTGAATTTAAATAGATTTTTAAAAAACTTTTTTACAGCGAAAATGCACGAAATGAAATTTTAGAAATAAAATTATATTATTGCTTACAAATATATTGTAGATTGTGAAATGTACAATAAAATAATACATTTATTTTGACCGCAGGTGTCAACGTACTTTAAAGTCTATGGTAATTAAAAGTCCAAATCTATTCAATAATCATTATATTATTTATCATAATAAATAATCAAGACATAATTAGTATATTTCGTGTTAGATATTAATATATATCCAGAATGATAAACAAGTAAATCACAGTACAGTGTATTTATTCACAAGTCTATTAGTATACAGTACATACCTCAAAATTTTTACCCGCATTAAAAACTTGAAAATATATTCAAAAATGCGATAACTTTATAAAATATGTATTTATTGTAACTAAATATTATGGCATTTTATAATACATTATAATAAAAACAATCTAATTCTAAATAATTTTTATTTTATTTTAATTTATATATATATTCTTAGAAAATGCATTAGCCGGATAAATGACTCCTATGCGATAACTCATAAACTTTTATAAATAAAACCACAATCATTATTACAATCTGTAAATTAAAATATACAAATATTTAAATTTTTAATTCAAATTAGTAATTAAAAACCTACCTCTAATCCCTTAGTCGTATTAATAACAAATAATTTCCAACAATAAAATCCAATACCTTTCCCACCTACACGGGTCGTAAAATTTATTAGCTGTAAAATAAAAATATTTTCAATAAAAATTAAAAATTCATTTAACAAGCTAGCTTACTTTTAATTTTAAACAAATGGGAATTATTTGTCTTGAGTTTAATTGCAATAAAAATAATTCATAGGACTTATTGGCCTCAGTATTAATGGCCGCCGATATATGTATTATAAACGCCAATAGAATTGTATACTCTAACCCAAATCCGCCTACCATTACCCTGATTATTGGCAATAATTTACTAGACAAGCAAATATGTACGGATAATACAATTATGACTCCTATGAATGTCCAATTTGCAAACAGATATTTTGAATAATAAGCTTGGTTATATTCATTAATCTCCAAATAGATCTTGTCCAATTTATGCATAATATGAGTGATATTATTAATATAATTGTACCGATACAGTTTTTGAAGTAATAATCTATTTTGTAGGTTTAGTTTGGATTTCAAATAATACGATACAATAAAATAATTAAATGTTGAGTAGCATAATATTTTAATTGTATGTCCAACCCATATAGCCCATAGCAAACTATGTGGTATACCGTACGCAATTAAATACACCAGGGATACTTTGGAAGCAAAACCAATAAAAGTAATAAAATACGCAAACATCATCAGGGTGCGGACTACATATTTAATAAATCCAATAGTTTTTCCACAAATTCTACATAATTTTATCACTAAATCCTTGTCATTAATATCAAGACTTTTAGGTGCAGTAAATCCGGCTATCATTTGAAATAACCGTAAATCTCGGGGTTGTATACCATTCCTGTAGTTGTGATAATGTATGAGCTGTAAGGCTGTACACAATACACAGTTTATTGCGACGGACAGGGATATAAAGGGTGACCCAGTATTTAGAAATACGTCTATATTCCCCAAATGTAAGTGAAAATCATATGACTTATTGGGAAATAAGTTCAAAATATTTGCCAAACATCTCATTAAAAAAAATATATTCGATGCGTATAATATTATTGGATGATTGTACCATGGTCTTTTAATTTGAGACAATGGCTTAAATAAGCTTACACCTAGGCGATATAAATGACTGTCCACATTTGTGACTTGAAGTTCCAAGGGAACGGTATGCGACAAATCAAAATTTAATACATTCATTGTATTTATAAATAAATTTTATGATAAATAAATATTAAATATATATTATTATATAACTGAAATTTTGATATAAATACAATTGTTACTAGGTATTGTATTATTATTTAATTAATACGGGAAATTATTGTTTACAAAAACTATACTTTTATTAAATAATTTTGTTGTTGTTTTGTGTTTACAATAATATTTTTCTAGTTACATCTTAATTACAATATTACATGATTTAAGTTAATAAAAATATTTATTATAAATCAATATTTCTGAATGTACATTATGTACTGTATACTAGCAATATATTGTGTATATTAATCAATGTTATTTTGCATGTTCAAAATTCATTAATTCCAAATATAAATGAAAATAAAATAACAGAAATTATTTCGTAATTTAGTAATAAGTTAATTACACAGTGGTATTCAATTAACATAATCACATAATTACAGTCTGAATTACTTACACACTTAGCTATGTATTGGTAAATATTCATTTTATAAAAATACAAATTCATCAAGATAAATAATTAAACTTAAAAACAAGAATTTCAATATTTTAATAATAAGAACTTTCAGCATCATCATCTGGATAATACATACGACCTAGCTGCTTTTCATGCATTTTCCCATAGTAACCCATAGTCCCCCTATTTTAGCCCTGGTTATAAAAGTTGAACCAGATTGACCATTACAAAGCTAGCTCATTTGCGAGCTCTTTACCATCAAATACAGCGCCATTTGGAATAAAACTTTTAAATTGTACCCACTCCAAATTGGCATTATATGGATTAGTTAACACTTCGTATTCAGAATACTTACATCGGAAACTTGACCCCGGTATTATAACAATACAACTTTCCCGTAGATTATTGGATCCTGATAATTTCAATTTAGCATGTGTAAACTATGTAATAATGTAGGTTTTACTTAATTAAGATATGTACAGCCAATGACATTCAATAGTAAATAGTGTTCATCTACTGCTTATAACACTATTACATGAGTTCTAAGCTAGATATGCGTTACATGAGCTAGAATGGGGTATTAGTTTTAACTGACCTGGGTGCTCGATGTAAATCATTAATACACATGGCCTTTCTATCAAAAGGGCACTCGTTGTTGTTTTTAAGCCAATCGCGGATACTTTGACTGCATATTTATTCACAGGTCTATTGGTATACAGTACATATCTCAAAATTTTTACCTGCATTAAAAACATGAAAATATATTCAAAAATGCGATAGCTTTATAAAATATGTATTTATTGTAACTAGATATTTTAGCATTTTATTATACATTATCTAATTCTAAATAATTTTTATTTTATTAAAATTTATATATAATTTCTTAGAAAATGCATTAGCCGGATAAATGAGATAACTCATAAACTTTTAAAAATAAAACCACAATCATTATTACAATCTGTAAATTAAAATATACAAATATTTAAATTTTTAGTTCAAATTAATAATTCAAAACCTACCTCTAATCCCTTAGTCGTATTAATAACAAATAATTTCCAACAATAAAATCCAATACCTTTCCCACCTACACGGGTCGTAAAATTTATTAGCTGTAATATAATAATATTTTTAATAAAAATTAAAAATTCATTTAACTGGTTAGCTTACTTTTAATTTTAAACAAATGGGAATTATTTGTCTTGAGTTTAATTGCAATAAAAATAATTCATAGGACTTATTGGCCTCAGTATTAATGGCCGCCGATATGTGTATTATAAACGCCAATAACATAGCGTACTCTGAACTAAACCCGGCTAACATGACCCGGATTATTGGCATTGAGTTACTGAATATACAAATATACAGGGTAAATACAATTATTGATCCCATACATAACCAAATTTCTATTAGAAATTTTGAATAAAAAGCCAGGTTATATTCATTAATCTCCAAATAGATCTTGTCCAATTTATGCATAATATGAGTGATATTATTAATATAATTGTACCGGTACAGTTTTTGGAGTAATAATCTATTTTGTAGATTTAGTTTAAATTTTAAATAACACGATACAATATAATAATTAAATGTTGAGTAGCATAATATTTTAATTATATGTCCAACCCATATAGCCCATAACAAACTATGAGGTATACCGTACGCAATTAAATACACCAGGGATACTTTGGAAGCAAAACCAATAAAAGTAATAAAATACGCAAATATCATCAGGGTGCGGACTACATATTTAATAAATCCAGTAGTTTTTCCACAAATTCTACATAATTTTATCACTAAATCCTTGTCATTAATACCAAGACTTTTAGGTGCAGTAAATCCGGCAATCATTTGAAATACCCGTAAATCTCGGGGTTGTATACCATTCCTGTAGTTGTGATAATGTATGAGCTGTAAGGCTGTACACAATACACAGGTCATCGCGACGGACAGGGATATAAAGGGTGACCCAGTATTTAGAAATACGTCTATATTCCCCAAATGTAAGTGAAAATCATATGACTTATTGGGAAATAAGTTCAAAATATTTGCCAAACATCTCATTAAAATAAATATATGCAACGCGTATAATATTATTGGATGATTATACCATGGTCTTTTAATTTGAGACAATGGCTTAAATAAGCTTACACCTATGCGATATAAATGACTGTCCACATTTGTGACTTGAAGTTCCAAGGGAACGGTATGCGACAAATCAAAATTTAATTCATCCATTGTATTTATAAATAAGTTATATGATAAATAAATATTGAATATACAGTATATTATTATATAACTAAAATTTTGATATAAATACAATTAATTGTTACTAGGTATTGTATTATTATTTAATTAATACGGGAAATTATTGTTTACAAAAACTATACTTTTATTAAATAATTTTGTTGTTGTTTTGTGTTTACAATAATATTATTCTAATTACATCTTAATTACACTATTACATGATTTAAGTTAATAAAAATATTTATTATAAATCAATATTTCTGAATGTACATTATGTACTGTATACTAGCAATATATTGTGTATATTAATCAATGTTATTTTGCATGTTCATTATTCATTAAATCCCAAATATAAATACAAATAAAACCCGAAATTATTTCTTAATTTAGTAATAAGTTAATTACACAGTGGTATTCAATTAACATAATCACATAATTTACAGTCTGAATTAAGTACACACTTAGCAATGTATTGATTTTGATAAATATAGTAAAATATTTTTATGTTTAAGTAGTTCTATTTATTAATTTGAATTTTTGTTCTTAAAGTTATAAAATTATTATTCTTGAAAGTCGTAGTAGTAGACCTATTATGTATGCTGGATCGACGAAAAGTAGCATTTTCCCATAGTAACCCATAGTCCCCCTATTTTAGCCCTGGTTATAAAAGTTGAACCAGATTGACCATTACAAAGCTAGCTCATTTGCGAGCTCTTTACCATCAAATACAGCGCCATTTGGAATAAAACTTTTAAATTGTACCCACTCCAAATTGGCATTATATGGATTAGTTAACACTTCGTATTCAGAATACTTACATCGGAAACTTGACCCCGGTATTATAACAATACAACTTTCCCGTAGATTATTGGATCCTGATAATTTCAATTTAGCATGTGTAAACTATGTAATAATGTAGGTTTTACTTAATTAAGATATGTACAGCCAATGACATTCAATAGTAAATAGTGTTCATCTACTGCTTATAACTTATTACATGAGTTCTAAGCTAGATATGCGTTACATGAGCTAGAATGGGGTATTAGTTTTAACTGACCTGGGTGCTCGATGTAAATTATTAATAAACATGGCCTTTCTATCAAAAGGGCACTCGTTGTTGTTTTTAAGCCAATCGCGGATACATTGACTGCATATTGTCTGTCGACAGCATTGAGTGACAACTGGTTCGCGGAATATATTGAGACAAATACCACACGAGAGCTCCTCTCTGTCCGATTCACTTAACCCCACAAATCTGTCACTATAGCCACTCATTTTAAATGACCACGGTTAAAAATTAATATATTTATTTTACAAATGTGCATTTAGTTATTGCAGCGTTTTAATAAACAAGTGACTACTACGTAAATTATTCACGTTAACATTTTATTTGATAGTAGCTAAGATACAAATAATTTATGTCTCTATCGTGTAGTGGAGGATTATTTTATATAACATACTAATTGTAATCATTTGTTATGAAACAGTAAAAAAATAAGACTATAATTATACTTAATTTTATGATAAGTACAAATAACAATACAATTTATAAAATAGCTAAATCTAAACACAATTAATTATGTGATAAAATAATTTGATATGTGAGTATAGTAAGTTGATATAAATAATTAATTGCTAAGTTTATTGTAATTTTATTATCAGAATTTATAATTTTATTTTTATGAATGTTTTTTATTCTCATAACTATAAACATACTGCACGATAGAGGTGACATAACCTTATTTAGTAGATTAAGATTACTTTTTAAATTATCAAAAAATATTATACTGTATAATGTATAATAATGTATTATATTTCTAAAACAAAAATTATATTTCTGATACAAGTACTGTAATAAAATCAATATTGAATTTATTATGAGAAGTCACGATAAATATCAGTAAATTTTATTATGTACTCTATACCAGGGATATAATGTCTATTATA